CACCTCCCTCCATTCGCCGCAGCACCACCGCCTGCCCCACGATCTCGCCGCCAGATCTTGAAGCCGACAACCGTGATGCATCCTCTCCACCACCATGATAGCCGTCGCGCTTCCACCACGAAACCCAACGTTGGACAATTGACCATGAAACTGCGGCAATTTGATGCCGTGACCGAGAAAACCACACCGATCAGAGGTGAGCTCTTCCATTTATCACTTTTATAAGTTTTTTTCATATTTTTATACGTATGAAAATTCCATAGGCATATGGTGATGTTCACAATGGATTCTAGTTTAAGTTAGTTTGAATGTTATAGATGTGGATAGATAGCTAGTTTAAATTAATTAGGATATGCACCGATGATATATATAACTAGCTAGATTATGTAATTAATATTTTTGATATGGATATGAGATATATGTGGATTAATGATGATATGGATCTAGCAAGCTAGATAGGTTTAGTATGATGTCCATGATTGAGAATATGGATGTGTATACTAGAGTTTATAGCAAATATAAGAAAATGATATGGGTCTGATGGGATCTTTTTTTCTTTATGCATATGATAGCATTTTATAATTTGTATATGTCGATATAATTAAGTGATTCTAGGAGTCTTATGTATCATATGGTATATTACATGTTTGTTGTTTTATGTGTGTTTTTATAAATAATGACATCTTAATTAATTTGTATAATTTCTACAGATGAACGGAAGTAGGGGATGCCACGGGCTCATTAAGGCGTAAGTGTTTGAAGACGATGTATTGCTGACCGAGATGAAGGAGATCACTTCCTGGTATGGCACCTTGAAGGAACTGAATTATAAGGCAAAGGGCGTGCTGATTTTTACCACATAGTACGAGCAGAAATGGATCAGGGTCGTCTATGGTGGTGATACGACGGTCAGTGCGATGGAGTTCCTCCTATGGTGTATGAGAGAGGGGCATGGGTGGGATTACTAGCTGTGACAAAAGTATGAAGACTACCGCTCTGTTATGACCGCCAATGAGGACCTGGATGTGGCATGGACTGAACTCGTGGTGTTACCGGGCACCAGCCTGGAAAATCCAATCTATATCCGCGAAGCTGGAATGCCTATCCCAGCACCACACCCTGCCTCCCCAGAGGCGTAGCCGTCGCGCTTATGCATAGTATGCTATTAGCATCTTAATTTCATGGTCCGGCTTGTGGATGCCCTTCATATGATGAACTATTATTTTGGTTGTATGACTATTGCTATGTAGCTATATGTATCGACGCAGTGGCTCATATATATATGATGCAATTAATGCTTGGACTCGGAATTTTTATTCCATTATTTTCATGCTTAACAGTGGAGTTGAGTTGTTTAGTTTCACATTTGCTAGATAGAACTGTTGAGAGTTATGAGTACCAAATGGTAGTTCATCTGCAAGATTATTTCAGTTGAATTATAGCTTGTTAATATGTTTTGACTAATGCCGACTCTTTGTACAAAGAACAACTTATCTCAGTAGCTATGCTACAATAAAAAAACCATATTACTCATATATTCCTCACTTCTGTAGTGAATGCCACGAAGAAGATGACATTATCTATATCATCACTCTATTTTGTTATCGAATCTACACGGTACACGTGAAAAATAAATATCAACATGTAATATTAAAGAGATCTTATGTTTTCGTCACCATTTCCTGCTTTTATTTGTTAGCATGGTTATTTTCCTCGACGCATTCTTCTCTGGTGAACTATTCATGAAACAGTGGTGTACATGCATGAGAATCTTGCATAATTCCACACATGACTAAAGAAAAAACAAATTAACAAAAGCTTAGTTGTTCTATATCAATATTTGTATTCTACTTAATGTGCATGACAAGATATTATTTATATTTATATTATCATACATTAAGATATGCTGGTAGCTGAATCTTCTATACTCATTGGTTCATTCTTTTGAAGGCCAGGGTGCAACATGGGATGGGATCCCTTGGTTTGATAGAAGATGGTGGTGCATTGATCCATTTCCCAGAGGTTACCATGAAGCAAGAGATCTCATGCTCATTCCAAGA